TCAAGCCAGCTATCAAACATAGGTGTTCAGTTCGTCTCTCTGACACCTCTTTGCAGGGTTCTGGCCCAAAGCACTGCCAGCAAGTCAGTCCTGGCTCTGTTTCAGGTTCCCCACGTTCATCTGTCTCCTGCAGAGTGGCTGCTGGGTTTGAACAGCTGACCTTGTGGTTCAAAACCCAACGCCTGGCCCACAGTACAAGCAGGGCTCCCAGGGTTCTACCCAGGAGGCCCCAGTTCAAGAACTTTGCTGCTAGCAACCCTCACTGCTGGCCACCCAGTGAGGCTGGACTCCTTGGACTGGTTTTGCACCTCCATTCCGTAGCATATCTGGTCAAGATTCTATTAGAATCTGGCCAACAGGAACGAAATGGGCACATAAACTTGTGAGGGGCACAGCTGTAGTTAAAATGATATAACAAAACACAGTGACACCCCCCACCCCCACCCCCAGCAGTCTGTCTGGGTGTCACCAACTGCGCCGACGAACAGGGAGCAACTGTTTTTCTGTCCATATCAACCCACATGACCGGCTTGACTGCTTCTCCCTAGAATTCGCTGCTAGGCGTGGCCTGAGTCAAAGTCTTAAGGTTTCTACATCTTTTGTGAGACTGAGTGCAAGGCCAGCATCCCAGGCGGGCTGCAGGTGCCCACAGCAGGCCTGGCCTCCGGGGGGAGGGGCTGTCAGTCAGGCTGGCAGCTGCTGTGGGGCTGGTAGTGAATATTACCATTGTGTGCAAGTCGGGCACGTCATCTGAACGTTGGCTAAGGTTCAAAAAGAGACCGACAGACAGGGTGCTGTGGCGGGTGTAGGTTTCGTGGGCTGCACAAAAGCAATTTGGGTTGAGGGCTCTTTGGTGAGCTGCGGTGAGTGGTGCTTGGTAGGACTTCGAAGACTCTAATCTTTGATTTCCTTCAGGAAATTTCCTCTGAGTGTCCCTATAGGCCCTTTCCCAGTCAGGCCTTCATCAGTATTCATGGCACCGACATCCCTCACAGCTTTGCCCCTTTCATCTTGCCTTTGTCCACGCGCCGCCTTGGGTCTTACATGGCTCGTGGTGTATGTGTCTGGGCTTTTCCAAGGAACATCAAAAGGAAGAACCTGGGTCAGCCTCGTTTTTCCGAGAACCATCCCCAAGGGGTGCTGAGGGGGGCAGGGGAGGCGGGCGGGCCTCCTGACTCAACGCACTTCTCCATCCTGACTGTCCCGGTGCCTGAAACCGCTATGATTAGAGTCCTTCGGTTGACTAATGACAAACAAAACGCCCACTGGAATGCTCGTTTCAGGGTACAAAACCATTCTTAGCCATTAGCACCGTCTCTTGAAGGAGGCTATCATAGAAGCTAGTCAGTCATTTGAAACGCTTGGGAGACACGGGACTCTAGCGGGCAGCCGCCGCACGGCTTTCAAGAAGTAAAACCAGAGTTCCGTGCGTGCGTGCGGCAGGTCAAGCCTTACCCTCAGCCTCCGTTCAAAGGCGGAGATGTTGCCTTTGTTCTGTTCTCTCCTCTGCCTCCATTCGATGAGGTTCGCATTGTGCTCGCCGGGCAGGGAGATGTTGCATTTGCCCAGCGTGGGGTTGACTGCGCCCGCCAGGATGTGGGGCTCTGAGCTCAGGCTGATCTCCATCCCGCTGGCAAAGGTGACGCGGAGGGAGCCATCTGGACTCACCCGATAGGTACTTTGGATATTTTCTGTGGGCAAGAAGAGCACAAGCGTTAGAGGGGGAGGGCCGGGCAGGGCCGAGTTGGGGCGGGGGGCGCAGTGCAGGAGAGAGTAGTTTAGCTTTAGGAAGCAAATTTGGAAAAGAAGGAGCAGATGGGGTCACTGTGGCCTTAACTGCCTTCTGGGCTCCGCAGCCACTCTGACAGGTAGCCAGACTCTCGGCCCATTGGGGCCTCGTTATTTTCACAGCCCGGCTATCAGGTTTCCTGGATACAAGACTCCTGTCTACCACTGCAGGCTGTTTTTGTTTCGGCTTTCTCCTTCTTAGACTCTTCCCTCCCGAACTCCCTCTGACTCCTTGGATTGGGCTGCTTACTTGGATAGGCTAGGAGCTAGAATGACTGACGTTCAGCAGCCAGACCCCCTGGGGACACTAGCACACTTGCTGCACCCCGGCAAGCCATCTAGCACTTGCCAGTCGTGAAACCAATTTTTTTCAAAAAATTCTTTTCCGAGTGGATCTGAACGTGAACAGGTCTGTGTCTGATCTCACAAGCCAATGACAGAGTGAGTCTCAGGCCATGGCACTTTGGGCCACTTCCCCTCTATATAGCATCCGAGACAGCCCTTCCAAATCCATCCTATCTCCCTGCTTTCTTTCTTCCCTCAGACTAGAATGAGCTTTTATTTCCGCACTTCACATCGCCTCCTCCTCAGTGTGTGCTATAAATTGTCCTTTGTATTCACCCAGGTAAGCAGTGATCTAGAATGCTTAGCTCAGATGGGGCGCCGCTCAGATGGGGCGTTGACGCCATTTCTTTACTATAATGTTGAGCCTAACTGAGCTTTACAAATGGCAGAGTGTTGGGAAGTGACATGATGAAAGAGCAGATTTGGCCAAGGGTTCACCTCCTAACTCCCACAACGATGTGGGCCCACAGTGACATGGGACCGTGGGAAAGGGGCGGATTTGTCTGAGGTTCAAGGCTTCACAGCTGGCAAATTGACAGAAGTCATCTCCTCAGCCAGAAGCAAATCCTATTGACTGAAAGTTTGCAGAGGGTCTGCGGTAGAAGTTGGGATCTCTGCTCTTACAGGAGGTCAAGTTGCAAACAGCCTTACCTTGTTTTAAAATATATATGGTGCTCATTGCCGTCAAGTTGGTTGACATGAGGACATTTTCACGGTTGGAAGTATCCAGCTCCACTTTTGTCAGCTTCTCCAGGTCGCTGTGGAAGCTGCTGACCTCTCCAGTGGGAAATGTGGCATTTGTCAGATGGCCCTCGGGATCGTACCTGGGAAATGGAACCAGTCCCAACTTTGAAGCCTGTTGGCAGCGACCACAGGCTTTTGAAAGCCAAAACCAAATAAATAAATAACTTTCCAGTGAATACAGTATAATTTTGAGTGATAACAAGCATGATTAACCTTGTTCAATATGAAAAAGTCAGAGATGATTCATCAAAAAAAAATGTTGCCACTTCTGAATTCTTGATGACTTCCTTGAGCTGTGCTGTTTTACAGGAAAAAATATATCCGGCAATGCATCACCAAGGTGGAAAGTTGATTTATGGATCAGGTCCTGCAGTGTGCAAGGTGTCAGGGAGGCTTGGGGGTGCCATTTGGGTCCATTCCATTAGCTGCAATAGCTGGCCCAAACCAGCAGAGGGTGGCGTTGTCAAAGGAAAAGGAAGCACAAAGGCTCCACCCCTCCCACCCCACCTCAACCCTGGGAAGGCCAATAAAACTGACTTTGCATTGTGATAGGAAAATTATATTTGCTGCTGTTTAAGTTGCCAAATTTGAAATGAATGAATTATTCTTCCAACAAAATGAACAAGCACAGAGGATAATGGAAACATGTTCATTAAAACAATCTGGAGCCCTCTGATCTCAGTGTCATTTAGGTTTTTTTTAAAATCTTTTTGGAATCGAGTACATAATGTTTTGTAATTTGCTTATATGCGTAAGAGACAAAAATAATTACCTGGGATAATAGGCAATAACCTATATCTCGAAATATAGTGTAGAGAGTTTACTTTTGTAAAAAAAAAAAAAAAATCAGAATTATTGGCAATCTCACTGTCCTCCAAATGGAAACTACTTCCCTGAAGGCTTTCGAAGGGGAGCTGTTCTTTTATTGCCAATAGAGCCAGGAAAAATAAACACTTCATTAAAAGTAAAGACATGCACTTGGAAACCCATTACTGCTTTCTTTGCAAGTTGCAAATTACAAAATATTTAAGCACTTTTATTTGCTTTTAAATTGTTAAACTATTATATTCTTCCTACCCAAAGTGAACTGGATACAGCTGGACACACGATCACCCCCTGGCCCCTCCCCCCCAACAATTACTCAAAATGGCCTAGTAATGCCATGATAATCCACAAGGCTTGAAAGTGCTCAGCTGGGGAAGTTTCTCCAATGTCAAAAATCTATGCCAGCTTTTGGTTGGCTTGGGAAAGGGGACTACATCTTATGTCACAGACTAGGTGCGTGTAGTGCCATGCTCACTTTTGTACACCTATCTAAGTCTACCTACTATCCAACCTTCCTACCCATCTTTATGCACGGAAGCATGCCCACATGCGCTCTCGCTATCAGTTAAAACAGTCATGTCTGTGAAGAAACAGAATCAAACCAGTCATTTGACATCTTCTGATACTCCCAGCCCTAGCTGTTGAATTGGCTGCACCATTTGCTTAAATGAGTTTCAGTCAAAACAATCCGAGTGCTGTTCCTATGCAGCTAGGGATTCGCTATTTAAGAAAAGCCGAAGGTCAGTGGCCACATTCTTGCCCGTGTGCCTGTGGCCTGCCCCGGGGTTCGGTGGCTGCGCGAGAAGCAAAACTCTGGTAAGAAAGGAGCAAGGGCTAGAATGGTCAGCACAGCCTCAACTTTGCCTTCCTGGTCCCCCCTCCAGGAGAAGAAAATGAATTCCAGCCTTTATTCTCCCAAGGTGTCAACCTGCTTTTCCCTGCAGGGGGAAACTTCCAGGCAGCTGAGAGAGCGAAAAAGTGGCTGCACTTCTTCCTCATGAGGTGACTGGGATCTCGCAGGCTGGCTGGCAGAGGCGGTGAGGTCCTTTGTGTTTCGCCACCACCAGGGCCTCTGCCTTGGTGGTTTTGCTTTTCTCAGCCCGCAGCAAAGTCTGTGTGTTTTTGGATGCTCTTGCGTCAGTTCGGACTCATAGTGACCCTGTGCACGACAGAAGGGAAGCACGGCCTGGTCGTGCACCGTCTGCACAACGGTTCTTATGTTTGAGCCCAGTGCTGCAGCCACTGTGTCCGTCCATCTTGTCCAGGGCTTTCCTCTTTTTCGCTGCCCCTCTATTTTACCAGGCACGATGTCCTTCTCTGGGATTGGTCTCTCCTGGTAACATGTCCCAAGTATGTAAGAAGAAGTCTTGCTATCCTTGCCTCAAAGGAGCATTCTGGCTGTACTTCTGCCAAGACAGATTTGTTTGTTCTTTTGGCAGTGAGTGGTACCGTCAATGTTCTTCGCCAGTCCCATGATTCAAATGCATCAAATTTTCTTTGATTTTCCTTATTCAGTGTCTAAATTTCACACCTATACGAGGCAATTGAAAATACCGTGCCTTGGGTCAGGTCCACCTGAATCCTCAAAGTAACCTCCTTGCTTTTCAACATTTTAAAGAGGCCTTGTGCAGCAGATTGACCCAGTGCCATGCATCTGTCGATCTTTTGACTGCTGTGGTCCTGAGCATTGAGGATGGATCCAGGATACCTCATCTAGGACCCCGAAATCAGCTTCCCAAAGAGCCTTCCAGTCAAAGGATCCTTTCCGTCTGTCGGAGTCCCAAAGCCTTGGCTAACCCTGGTTTTACATACTGGCAGGGAACAGGACCATCTACCAGCTCAACCATCCACGTGCGAAAGTACAAGGATGAGACATTCCCACAAGCCTTAACCATGGCCTCCGAAGCAATCTAGTTTCCTAACCTACCCTTTTCCCGTTGGTCTCTTTTAACCTGCATTCCCAAGAGCTTAAGCATATTCCACCACACTCTGAGCCCTCCGTGCTCCTCATATGGATAATAGGATCTTCCAAGATCAAAGCTAAACTGGCCTGGGTGGGAGATTGCTGCCTGGTCCTTTTCTAGTGAGGGTGGCCAGGGTGTTGGGATAAGGTAGTATGCCTCACAGTCCTGTTCAGTTGTTGGAAAGGCAATTGCTTTCTCAGTTTCCTTTTATTGACTGGATATGTACCCTGACTTGGCAGTACACATCTGACTGCAACAAAGCACCTCCCTAACCCCCTCCACCCCCACGACTCACATACCCCAGCTCTGCCAGTCACAGTCAAAGCAATTGCATTTCTGGTGTCTACACTATGCTGTCTCGCACGTGCTCAATCATTTATATGATCCTGGATCAAAACTTGCAGGTCCACCTCTCTTCAGTGGGGTCATTTCCAAAGGCAGCACGACAGACAGATGTACGTGTCAGTGGATAATCCCCACAACTTTGGAAAGATTGCTCAAAGTAGATAAGAAATAAAGGGAGACTTTGATTTCCTATGGCTTTGCTCGAGTTTTTCTTTTCTCCATCACAGGGGAATGCCTGCTTCCAGACTGAATGTCAAAGAAACAGGTTTAATAAAAATTTCTTATGCTATGTGCTTCCCTTTGGTGCCAGCATTGTTTGGTACAGAGAGTGCATGCCAATATGCCTCAACCGATCCCCGCCGGCCATACCATGGGAGCAGCCTCCACCTCACAATGTGCACAAAACCTGGCTGCTGAATCGCACAGCCAGGCCCTGGCTCCACCTCTGTAGTCAGCAGAAGCAGCCTGGGTGTGAAGACTTTGGCTAGAAAATGGTCCATCCTTGTCCTGATTTTGGGGTCCCTGAGTAGGGCACAACAGTGAATGGGCAACACAGGCCTACTCTGATACATGGGGTTGTCAGGAGGGAACATGGACCCCACGGCAACAGGTTGTGGTCCTGACTCGACAGAGTTCCCACGTGAGAGCCCCAGTGAAGTATGAGGAGCCTGGGTGGCAGAGGGTTTATGTGCCGGCTTGCAATGAACAAGGTCCACAGTTTGAAACCACCAGCCACTCCTCGGGGGCTTTCTACTCCCACAAACAGTTCCAGTCTCTGAAACTCACTGGGGCCAGTTTTACCCTGTCCTATAGGCTCATTATGCGTTGGCATTGAGTCGATGGCATTGCATTTTTGTTTTAGATGACAGGGTCACTAGGAGTCAGAACGGGCTCGATGGCAGTGAGTTAGCGAGCAAGGGGCTATGTGCCCATTAGTGGTGTGTGTGAGCATGCGAGCACGTGCACAAATATCCATCCCGGTGGAGCCAAGGAAACACTGATGAAGGTATTGCCGAACTCCTTACTGTCCTTGAGGAACATAGAGTCTAGTTGGGGACTTTCTATTCAGACCTTCACAAAATGATGTTTGCTTTGAGATTTTCTCCTAAAGGGTAGCCTGCTCTTTTCCCTCACTGCCATCCTGCTGAATCCAACTCCTAACACCCCTCGAGGATGGAGTAGAACTGGCCCCATGGGTTTCTGAGACGGTAACTCGTCACGGGATTCGAAAGCCTCATTTTCTCCTGGAGAGTGACTGGTGGTTTCGAACTGCTGACCTTGCAGCTAGTAGCCCAATGCCCAACCCGCTATATGCCCAGGGCTCCTTCACTGAGTCACCTGGCTCCTGACGAAAACATAAGGCAGAGCCAAACTGGTCAGGGGCTCCATGAGAAGATCCCTCGACTTTGCCCCAAAGAAATACTGAAGAATTCTAGAAGGACATTCATTGCCTATTTTTACCAGAAGCTAAGAAGGGCTCATTGTCACTTTTCCCTTTTATGTCAGGGGCTTGACCGCTCTTTAGGAGATTCTGGATGCCCCACCCCCACCCAGTTTCCCTCACCCATCACTTCATCTGGCTTCCCAAGATCCAGCTCCCAGACTGTAATGCCCTTCTCTCTTCGTTTGACCTTCATTCAATCCATATCAGAGTGGGGGGCTAGGTCTTGGGGATGCAGCGCTGCCAGGCATTCAATGTCTAGTGAGGCAGACAAGATGTGCACACCAGAGAACTCTCAGGACCGAATGCTGCTTGGTTGTTAGGTAAACAAAGAGTTGTAGGAGCTGCAAGGGGGCGGAGCAAGGGAGGAGGAGGAAGAAAATGAGAGGACATGTTGTGGGAATCCGGGTAGGATTTTGAGAAGCAGAGTTTGGGGAGGGGAAGGATGGCATTCCAAACAGAGGCGGTGGCATGCCCAAAAGCATAGGGGTGAATGGGCTGTGCA